ACTTCTCTTCCAATAAGTTTCCTTGAACTCATGCCAACTCTAAGTTCTGGTGAGGTAGAGCTCTGAATTACTTACTATTGTTCATTATTTAACATTTTTATGTAGCTTCAAAGATGTGCATTTAACAGTAGAGGGAGAAAATATATGGCCCTTGCCCAAAAGAGACCAGCTTTCACAGTGAAGTAGAAAGAAATGGTGCATATAGTTAAGGGTAGAATTGAATTACTTACTGATAATTTCTTATATGATCCAGTATTTCTTTAAAAAAACAAAGAAGTTTAAAGGGTTCTGAAGGGGTTTAATCCATTGCAAACTGACAACATGAAAATTGAAATGTTGAAAGGCAGGGAGAATTTTTGAATTGTTCTTCATATGGCTCTCCACATTGATATGCTATTAAAACTGCATCTGGAATCAAAAGAATGATATTTACTGCTTGAATTAATAGTGGAACTACTAAAGGGTGTCTTCTTCAGAGGTATGGATTAACCAATGATTTGTCAATGATGTTGGACTGGAAGGTTCTGTCTTGTTGTTATATGTGGCATATTAATGGGAAGCTGGAATGACAGTTTGCCCTTTCTGTGCTATGTGATTGTCCGTGTTAGACCTGAAATATACCACTCACTCACTGATGTTTGTGAGAGCAGTAATTTTATTTTATATTATTAATTACATATTTATTATAAGTATATAATAGTTAACCTGTGGAACTCTGGCACTGGAGTGACTGATCTCAAAGACAGATGAATTGTGCATTATATATGTATAGAAAGGAATAGCCACACCCTACTCATCATACTTAAGCTTGGGTCAAGTACAGGAGATGGCCAAAGGCAGGAAGTTGGAGGGAAAATACAGGGTTAAAAGCTGGGTAACATGGAATACATACCAGAAAACTATTAATTGTAACCATCTGCTATACAGTGCTTTGTGCATACATCAGTGTTCATGGAACTAATGCACATAAACCAAAACCAATGTTAAATTTCTAGTCACTAACTACTGTTCCTCAACTATTATGTATACAAATCTTGAAATATCTGAATTATCTTACTTATGCTGTGACTTTGGTGTACCTCTATTCATTTCGTATTTTACATAATGTGTAGCTGGCATAGCCATGCTGTACTAGTTGTGCATTTCCTATATCATCTAAATGAGAAAATGTTTGGCTTGGCCAGAAATTTCATAGGAAAGATGGTAATAATTCATGAGGTAATACAACTGAGAATTAATACTGCATCTATTTTCCAAGAGGACACTGTTGATAGGAGCCCAGAGAACTTGGAATGCTAGCTATGTTGATAAATTGAGCTACTTGTAATGATAATTTGCTACAATTCCTGTTTTCCAGAATATGATTTTGAAATTTCAGATATGTTTTTGTTCATTCTGTATTTGGGTAGTATATTTTCTCACAGTGTTATATAATATTTTTAGGAGATAATGTTTCTGTCATATAGTATAAGTCATTGGCCATTTTAACCAAGCCAGTTCCATCTTTTTCAATGCGAGTTCAGCAACAGCCTGCAATTACTGTCTGTCTCCCAGTGGTGCCTGAGCTGAAATAAACAACAGTAGCTTTTTCAGAGCAGGAGAATTTCGATAACACATTTTTGCTTCCACATAAGTTTTGTATGTCATTTTGCAATGTGAGGCTATTACTAATTTGATAATTGTCAGCAAGGATGTGTATATGTGTGTATTTTTGTCTTAAATAAAAAAATAGCAGTTTCTTAAAATACAGGAAAGAGTAGAAGCTCTGTACAAATAGTAGAGTCATAACCTATGTGAAGTTATATCCAACCGTAATAAGAACTAAACTTTCTTAGTGTGGCTAATTATGATATCCTTGCTCACATTTCATAATACCATATTTTTCACTGTTCCATCAGTCTCACTATGGTTACATATAGCATGGCATCTTTTGAGTGGAAGTAAGGGTGTACCAAGTGACCTAGATTCAGTGAAAGCTTTATGACTATCATTGCTGCTAAATCTTCTCAGTTCAGAGATCTTAATTTTATCTAACTGGCACTTCAGGTTCCTCTAGGCATCTGCTTTCAATTGCCTGCTAAATTAAATTTTAGAAAATAGAAGATTAAAAAGGTATATAATCAACCTGTGTTTCAAATATATACATTCTGATAATACACAAGTCATTCAAAAGCAAATACAGTACAAAATACTATGTAATCTCCATTGCTCGATAAACTTCCTCCTATTCATTGTTCAGAAGAGGTGAATAGGCCATCAGGCCTGGAAGGGGCATTGGTACAGTGACAGCAGGACACAGTGATACTTCACTTCCACCTCGGTCCTCCTGACTGCAGAAGCAGGCTCAGCTCTTACGGTATGGTCAGAACAGTGGGTTTGGCCTGTTGTTCTGCTTCAGCTGCAGTGATCAACCACAGGGCTGCCTGACAGGTACTCCCAGAGAGCACCAATCTTATGATTTGCACACCTTTTCCTGTTTCTTGACCCTCCTTTTGGCCATTCTTGTTTGTCCCTTTCTCCACCTCAGTATTTTCCCAAATAAACAACCTGCCTCTAATTACCTTTTCCCAGTCGGTCCCGGTTTTGCTATGTCCGTACCTAAACATGGTGTTTCTGACGCAGCTACCTAGGGAATCTTGGCCTTACATGTTGTTACTGATGCTGTTACCTAGGTGCTGTTGGCCTTGCAAGACTCCGATCCTCAAGTGGTCCCCAGTGCTTCCCTCTGATTGTTTGTGGTGTTTGGCCATTTATCGCAGAAATCCCCCCTTATCACCTACAAAATTTAGGTGTTCCTCATTGCACTATCTGTAACTTTTGTCAGCTTCTAACTCTTTTATCTGCCACTTGCAGCAATTTCTCATGTCACATCCAATAGTTTTCCATGTCCTGTTAAGTCAGCATAACCTTAGGCCAGGGCCTAGTCAGCAGTCAAGTCATCTGCCTGCGGACCGAATGTACGCTCTTCTAAAAGGAAGAACTTCATCAAAATGAAAATATTTCACACTCATCTGAAGAAAACACGTATTATTACATTTTAGGTATAATACGTTGTCATGTAATTTTCTCCTCACTATTGCCTGCTTTTTGGAACTGTAAAGATTGAGAAAGACTATATTTCACCTGCTACATTGAAATTTGTTTTTCCCCCCTCCCTGAAATGAATTCCACAAAGAGGAACAAGGAAGTTTTTCAGCTAAAAAAGGCAAGGTATTATTCAAATACTGCTGAATTAGTTAACATTAAAAAAAAAAAAAGAGAGAGAGAGAAAGAGAAAATAGCACAGAGAAAATAGAAATGGAAAGGGTTTGTAAACAGCTCTACCCCATCCTTTGCATGTTACCACCAGAAGATCCTCTTCTCTTAAGCTTAGTTTAAGTTGCTTAGTAGTTTTCTGAGTTATAGTAACATCTGCATGATCTTCCTTGGGTCCAGTTCTTTTTTTGTCACCTCAGAGGCCTATATGTTACTTAGTCTTCTCAGTGGTTTGTTAATCTTTGCATGAAATTCAGACCTCCACCCTCTTGCTGTGATTCTTTTACTTTATGCTCTTTTTGCAAAATTCTGTGTCCTCTTACTTTCCCTAAGCATGCCCAACTGTTTCCTGAAAGGAATGAGATCTCCCTGTCTTTCCAGATATATCCTCCTGACCAAGTCATTCTTCTTAACCATTTTCTTAACACACACGTTGTGAATTACCAAAAAAAAAAAAAAAATTTGAAGAGCAAATTCATATAAGATATCATCAATCTTTATGTGTATTTAAGCTTAAATCCCAGTAGGACTGAATCAATCTTTAACCTTCAGAGGTAGATAAATCAATTACTCTTCTGTCATGTTTGGTTTAGACCTTTGAAATGGCAGTCCTTTCCACTCTGTCCAGAGAGTAAAGTTCCAGTGGCTTTATTTCTGAAGGAAAGGAGTTGCTTTTGTAAACATGACTAATATCTTTTCAGAATTATGCAGTGGATTGGGAGACACACATAAAGTATTCATAAGATACCATGGAATGAAAGACCTTCAATCAAATATAAAATGTAATTTCAATGTGTTTACATAATCTTCCCAATTAAGTAGTATTAAGTAGTATTCTGGAGCTCAGATGTAGTAACTAAACTAAGATCTATTTTTTTTTTGATTCGTTTTTTATTTTCAGAGAATACTTTTATGATATATTTATCTGATAATGATCAGGTAATCAAGGAGTAGAGTAGAGTAAGAGAGGGAAATGAAATTCTGAATGATTGCTGCAGTACAAAAAGATTTTAGTAAAGAAACTTTTAAACTGTCAAAGGCATGTTTCTGCCTGTGTCCTGAATTTTTGTTCTCTCTGAGAGATGATAGTTTGTAGTTTACCCAGGCTGCATTTAGAAACATTATTTTGTAATTGTAATAGTATTTTTGAACTTCACATCACAAAATGAAAAAATTTTACAAATTTAAAATGAACTGCTGAGTATGAAATAATACCCTGAATTTGAAGAGTTCCAGGCTTCTGTGAATCTGGAACGTATGGAATATTTTTCATCTTTGAATCCTTTTCTAACAGTAACTAATGTACTTAAACATAAGGTGTTACAAAATCTTCCTTTTTATATGTCATCTGCTTAAAGACAAACGCTTTTAAGAAGCAAAATGTGTCTTCCTAGAACTATAAATAAAATATAATATTAATTTTAATAAACTTTACATACCCAGTAAAGGTTTTAAGAAGATTAGTTACCTACCTAGACAGCTTCCAGACAGATTAGGTTTCACTGGTATATTTTTTTTCTAACATTAAAATACATTCTTTGTATCTGTTATCAAATTAATACATTTTAGACAATAAAAGGATTCTGCTGGTGAAGGAAATTGAAAACATTTGGAATTCATTCTTATTTCTTATCAGCAGGTTTTCTTTCTAGGCCCCCAAGCAGACAATCTCCAGTACAATACCATCTGATGCTGTCATTAAATCCTCAGCGTCCGGTTTCCGTAGCAACAGAAGAGATCACCCTGCTCCAGTGTCTGCATCTAAAATCCTGAACAAAACCAGTTAATTTTGTGTTGTTTTTCTACATTTTTTGGACAGATTAGGTCTGAGCCCTTCTGTATCCGGAAACAAGTGGTAAGTAGCAGTTAAAGATTGTGATTATTAAATTATAGAGCTATATTTTACTTGTTGATGTACATGTGCACCAGATGGTGGCCTGCTGTATTCATCACCAGATTAGAAAGATAAAGCCTAGGCTATATGTAGGCCTACATATGCTTGTATGAGTTTACTTTGTAAAGTGTAAAAGGTTACAGGGCTTTTAGTGCTATATTTAAGAGAGCAAATCTTGAAAAAGCTTTACTTTCATTTGATTATAATTTTGACAGAATGAATATATTCCCAAGATATTTAAAGTTAATTTGAATGTTACTATTTCCAAACTATTTTCCCTCTCCAGGTTGACAATAGCAAGCAATACGTAAGTAATATACAACATACCTGGTTTAGGAGTTGTTATTCACAGAATAGGCAACTGTATTTGACTCAAAATATATCATAAAGTCACCAGAACTCACATGATTTTCATATACAAAAACTGCAAAATGTTTCTGAATGTGATTTACAGACTGCATTTTTATACTTACTAGTATATTCTGAATAAAAGCTTTTACTCTTTTCACTAAAAACAAAGACATGAACAGTCTTCTGAAATTAGCTTTTTCATTTTTAAGAAAGCAAATTATTCCTAAAGCCAATAGAAAGCCCATATAGCATGGAGAGCTCTGAGATTAGTGGAGTTTTGAGTTTCGTATTAGTAAACATTTATGCTTTCTCATTATACATGTTAGGTCTTATTTGTTGTTGATATTGATAACTTGCTCAATATATTTAAGAAACTTAGACATAGTATCCATTTTTTTGAAGCAATAGTTACACAAAATGTAGTTTATACATTCTTAAAAATGCCTCCATAAATAAGTCTGAATTACTATCATTTCTCAGTGTACAAAATTAGGTAAGGTTATTCATGAAAATTATAATGTATTTTAAATAAAACAGTTGTGATTGTTACGTTATTGACTAAATGAAGCGAAGAGACTGTACCTTTATGCTTCTGAAAACTGGAAGAAACAAAGTAACATTTTAGTATTATAAGCATTCTTATTTGTACTTTCAAGAGAGTATGCCTAGCCATTTTATTAATGAAACAGGACATCACTAAAAGGAAGAGATACTGTAGCAAGTATCAAAGACAACTTTCACAGAGCCAGTATTTTTACCTTTTTGTGAAATCTCTGGTAATGACTTCTGTATATATTTAATCATTTTGCACTAAAATCATATGCATTATGAGTAATACTGATTTTTAAATAACTGTAAAAGTTATCTGAGTCAAACTAAAGTTTCATATTTCATTTTTAAATAATTTACTCATTAGCTCTTATGATTAGTAAGAAGTCTTTAAGCAACTTGATTAAAATACAATGCTTATCTAATTAAGGGTTAAACTTCTTTTCTGAAGTAACCAGGATGATAATAGTTATTGTCCAAGGGCCTTTTCCAAGTAACATCAGTTGTAGCTGGCCTTTATTAAAGAATGGTGTGATAATTATAGAGAGCATAATCATAGGAAAGGCACATAAATATTTATGGAAAATAGGATTATGAGGTAAAATATTATTTTAATATCATGTTCAAAATGTTTTAAATATAAGAGGACAAATATACCTTCTTTATACATAGGTGTATTATTTTAGGCTCAAGACACAAAAATATCACTTGGTTCTAACACAACTGTGAAGAGGAATTAGATAAACCCACCTAGAGGTGTTTGTGCATTTGGGTGGCTACTTTGTACATTTTCCCACAAGCGAGTGGATAGGAAATAAGCTTACTCTTGACTGTATGGTATTATCCCAGTAGCAGCTGAACTGATGTAAGGATAAGCAGGCAATAGAAACAATCTACACTTGTCAGACTTTTGGCACAGATAATTCTTTTGGAAACATAATTATGAAGTTGGTAAAAGGAGAGAGCATTAGAGAGGAAAAAACAGGTATCTAGCAGAGAGAGACCTCTTGACTGCCCGTAAGTCTTTACAGATGGCACACACTGTCAGAAACGTCAAGCTAGTAAAAACCCCTTTACATCCACACAGTGCAGGGCAACACCTTGTGCTCACCAGTGTAGGCAGGACCAGTTGTAGAACTTGGGCTGTATTTTTAATGATATTAAGCAAATTTCTTGATCTATTCTTGCTGTTTGAATAAATTTTCCTTTCTTTAAAATGTGGTTGGCAGTTTGCTGCTATACCAGTGTTGTTTCAATAACAAAATCAATGTTGTGATAATAAAATTTTGAGATATTTTAATGATGTAATTCCTGGAGCTGTGTAAGTACCTATCTGGATCTTGGTTTGTCTTACTTAGAAACAGAGCAGCTGATTCTATTCAAACAAGTGTTTCTGGAGAAACAGTTATGCTCGTGAGAAGTCAGTTGAGCGTTTAAGGCTATATAGAGGCAGAATTTGTTCATTAGTTTGTTCATAAAGTGCTTGGCCTGGAGAACCAAATAGGGGAGCTTATCCACATCTTAATTTTCCCTGTCTCACTGATATTTATGGTAATGTTGACTATTTAGGAATTTTCTGTTTAGATCATACACAAATAATCCATCTAAAAAATTATATGAGCAAATTTTAACAATTCGTGAACACATTTGCCAAATCTGTGATTAGTTTTTTACTTCCTGTGTGGAATTATGTTACACAAGATGTGTGGAGATTTGCATGTAGGTTCATCTGTATTTTCTTTCAGGGAGTTCTCATTCTTCATATGCTTTTACAAGTTGTATTGGTGAGTTTTTACATAAACATGGGAAAAATATTTAGGCTTTAATATATGATTTTTTTTTTTCCAAATAGCCCACACTATGAGCAATGTCGTTCAATAGATGTTTAAAATTAGATAGTATGATAATCTGTAATTATAAACCCAGACAATTTATTTTCCCAAAAATGTATGGGGGAGTTGATTTTCTTCCTCATGTCACATGTTGGCTTAATTTGTGCTTTCTGCAAATATATCTTTTTTTCATAAACATTTCGTTGTGAAGAAGATTTATAAGAAAATAAGATTTATTATAGAATGAACATGCTGACAGGTATTGACTGTGATAGATGCAGTAACATGATGATTTCATGTCTAGAATGATGCATGTCTGTTACTGATACTATATCCCTGTTTTGTCAGTTTAGCATCCATACTCCTGTGCCAATCACATTAGTCACTTTTGAGCCCCAAATTCCTGAGGCTTACTTGACTAAAGAAAATTGATAGAAAAATAACATTTTACCAATCAAAACCATTTGCCTAGAAAAGATGCTTATGACAAAGGAAAGTAAAATATATAGTAGCAGAATTTTCTGCACTAAGTTGCAAACCTTCAGTCATTTTGTAAAAAACAAACTTTGTAAAGATAACAAATCAAATGGACAGATGATCGATGTCAAACCTACTGAAAAACTGCCTGTGGAAATGGAATGCAAGATTAGATCATAATCTGTCACTCAAAGAGCTGATGACCATGTGTATATTGCAAAGTATGCCTTGGACAAGAGTTGCAGTAAAAGTCACCTTGATCTTAAAATATATTTAACGTGAATTTCATATCAAAGTGTGAAAGATATTTAAGGTTAATAAAGATTTCTGAGGAACATGATGAAGAAGCTGTTATTAGGTATAAATACACCTTGAAGATTGACTTTCTGGATCAGCCCAATTATTGCAGCACTTATAAATCATAATAATTATTTATTAAATCAAAGGAGACAAAGATTCGTTTTTCTATAAATGGTATTAATTGATGCAGGCTGTAAAATACCTTAGCACACTGTAGATTGTCAAGCTGCTGCTATGTCTATAGGTTCCCTCTGCTCACCCAAAATTTTTCTGACTTTTCTAATTTTGTATGACTCCTAGATTATGTATTCCTTTGGAAATCTTTGTCTGCAAGGCATTAGCTGCCATTTTTTTGTGCATCAATACTGAAAACTTAAATATGGTAAATATGTTATGCAACACGAAAGCAGTGCCTAGGCAAAGCTGCTCCCATGAGCAAGTGATTGCCAGGATGTCTCTGGATGTCCGCTTTTTTTTCACTGGATGCTCTAAGACAGAATAGAAAAACAATTGTGGAAATGGAGTTATATGTTCCAGCCTGGTAGGTGCATACTCTGACAACTTAGATGTAGGCACCACGTTTCTTTTTGCTGTCATTTTATCTTCAAGGATCTATAATGAATCCGTAATGAATTTTTAAACTGTTCACTTTACAGATTGGGTGGACGCCTCTTGCATGCTTAATAGCATATAGGTCAGTCATTGGTGGCATGTATGCATTTAAATTTCCTAGCCAGAGGAATGATTTAAACACATCCTTCCTGGATGCATAGAACAGTGCAAAAAGTACGGTTCTACAACAGAAGGAAGGAATTTTGGTGGGAGAAATGTGCTATGCAACTCACCCTCGTTGGCGATAGGGAACTTAAGGTGCCTGGAAAATGTTAATGGACCAAAAGAAAAGATGGATATTAGGTCTTCTAGGACAGGTACTTGGTCTGAATCGTGGAACTGTTTATCTTCTCCTGCAGTCAGGAGATTAACATATATTTCTATCACATGAGAGAATCCTATTTCTTACAAGATTTAAAGGTACTTCTTGCATTTTCTTGGGGAGGACACTAGCTTGTAATTTATATAGTTACTCTTTCTGCTTACTCACTGAATACTTACATACTGGGTTATCAGATTGGGTTAGCTTCAATGAGATACTGAGAATAGCTCAAATCTTGGAGTTTAAGGAACATTATGGAGATGCTGAGCATGCAGAAAATTGCCTAGCTACTTAGGCGAAAAGGTTATTTTTCTTCCTAAACACTAACTTTGTGAAATAATATCTACCTTACGTTTTTGGGAGTGGAAATGATATATTCAGCTTTAAGATAAGCACAGTTTTGGGTTTGTCCTGAAGACAAAAAAAAGTATTTTTTTCCTTTTATTTCAGTGAAGAAAAAACAATAGAAAACAACAAGTTCTTTTACATAATAATAACAGAATCATTTAGGTTGGAAG